CGTCTCGGACTATAGTCTGTTTGTTGGAATTTTTCATTATCGTTCAATTGCTCTGTTAATAATTGTTTCCAACCTGTGGAGCCTTCGAAATATGTTAAATAATAACGCTTTTTGTTTTTTGTGTGTGCGGTGACANGATTTGATCTACTTCCTCCGTTTGTATTGGTTTTCGTGAATTGTAGCCAGAAAACTCACGTTTCTAAGGTTTGTTTGCAACTTTCGATTGGAATTTCATTTGGAAAATGATGCACCCGTTAGGTTTTATTTGTTAGGCATTATGTTCCTGTTGATTTCATATTACATCTAAAGCCATTGTGAGTGTTTAATAGAGCGAATTGATATCTCTCACTTCGCGCCATTCATAAATTTTTTGCCTAATGGTCATTACGCAGAGATCTCCTATGCAAACAAGTGGATTCACTTCAGGCCTATTTCGATGCATGCAGTTCCATCATGCAACAGGTTTCGCCTGACCGCCTTCAAGCGTGGATCGAAGGCACGGCGAATATCGATCTGGATTCGCCATCCGTCGATGGACGGTCGTGGTCCAATGGCGAAGATCCCTCGCCGTCCCGTCGTCCGGGACGTGCAGGCGAGGGTAATTCAGACTCATGTGTAAGCGTTACGAAGATGTCCTGTTTGTTGTATCTTTAGAAAAGTGAATTATGTGGTTTCGCAATTGAAACATCCCAACTAAATTGTAGTTCACTACTAAACTCACACGACCAGAGCATTCTGTGTAAGATTAATGAACCACTTGGGAATCTGTTGTTTCGAAATGAGCTACTATTCAACAATTCCTGCGCTCAGTTGCCGTTAGTTTCCCTAAAGTGGCCATGGAAACGTGTGTCGTGCTGTCTGGAATTTTTCTGGCTTATCCTATCGATTTTCAACCATCGATGCGTAGCAGCTGTCAAGCTCACTTTGTGCTGTTGTCGAGACTCTGAAAAACGACCGAAACCATTGCATAGACCTTGGAGATGGGCAAGGAAATCCTAAATTAAAACACGATGATTCATATGAACATTTATAAAAAGATTGTCTGGAACAAAATCGGTTTAGCTCATCGTTTACTATCCTGAAAGAAGTTTCTAAGCATGTCACTACTACCGCTACCTGAAATGGATTGTGTTATTGAGGTTATTGTTTTTATTGCGTGAATGAAGATGAGTAAAAATAAAAATAAAAGAAAGAAAATAAAAAGAATTGAGTTGGATAACATTAATGACCAGATGTTAGAACAAATTTATTTTTCTGTTTCAGTATAAATTTGGCCTAGTAGTTAACCATTGCTTCACCCAAAATGCTTTCAAACGATCAGTGCTATTCGCTTCACTGTATTTCATTGTATGTTGACAACGACTTCTAATCACAGTTGACTCCAGGCCATGTGCCCATGCTAGGCATCCGAAATAAGCTATTGATTTACTGAGAATATCTCCTACTTGGAATGGTTTGGCATTTTCCGTGCTTGTGATTGTTACTGGACTCATCATGTTTGAAGAACTTACAAAACTAACTTATATATCACGAAAGAGACATTTGAGACATTCAGCTGATACCAGTTTTCTGAAGTAAATCAACTGCCGTCGTCTACAAGTACTCGACGGATAAAATCGTTTTCCATGTCATTGAATGTAAGTCTCGTTTTTCGAGTTGTTTTCGTTTCCTACTTATTGGAAACACTTACCTGCCACCCACAGTATCAGCCACTGATACCAGTAGGTTTTCTGATGTTTTTCGACCCCCATCGTGGCACGAACAAAACGACTCTTTGTGTATATTTGTTCATGATTTTTATAGACATGATATAACTTTCCTCACCACACCGGCTCTACAAAATTTGGTACCTTTTCCTACCAGGCTCGATGCACAACTAAATTTCGTTTTTACGAATAGGCCGCAAGTTTTCTAAGTAGTTCTGATCACTGTATCTTAGACGTATGTCCAATTGTATACAACAAAACTAACCAGTACACGTTTTAAAACCATCCAAGATAATGAATCAAAGGGATTGTTCATCGGAGAACCTAGAAAGGCTAAGAATTCTTATTGCCGCCACAGATTCATCCGGTTTTCCTTCTGTCCTCTGTGAACATGTTGCTGACTGCCTTAGTTTTTGCTCCAACCAATGTTGCCCACTTGAAACAGTCTTCATCGATGAAGATATTCATCAAAGTTACAAAAGCAGTTACACAGGCGGAAAGAACGAACCTATAAGAATGGACTGAGAACCCGTGTCAAGCAGCTTACAATTTTGATCAAATCTGAAATAAATTTAGCATAGATAATATGCTGGGAAACTTCAGTTATTGTGCCATGTGGCGAGCTGTCGTACACCTGTGTGTCAGTACCAATAAACACAAAGGGGGAACTGTTGATTTAGAAAGACGAAATTCTGAGTTTAGTCCAGTTTCACAGTGCACAACTCTGTCAGATTTGGTCAGCTCTACACCACCATCAACTGTCGAACCCACCACGGTCATCCGACAGTATCGAAAACGAGGATGAATAAAGTATCTGGTCCGGATGAGTAATCACCCGTAATACTCGAGGTATATGCGGACACTCTTTCAATCCCACTGTCTAACATTCGATGGATGTCTGATAAGCGGAAACATTCCTGACATTTGGAGACTGATCACTCGATCAGTATTGCTCAACCTGATTACCGAAATTGGTGTTAATCCAAACGTTTACATATTGTTCCGCGATTATTTCGCGAACAGAAGTCAATTCACGTCCCTAAACAGCAAGAAATCTTCTACTCGCCCGGTTGCCTCGAGTGTTCTGCTAGATGCAATTTTCACCTGTTTTTCTTTTCAACGTATGTCAAACGATTTCCTATTCCTTCTACATTTATTGGCTGTAACTGCGCAAACGATGTTGTTTTGGGTGCAAAGCACCCACCCCTGAACTGACATAAGAAATTCAAGACAAGCTGAACGACGTTTTTATTTGGTTGTTGCCCTGTTCCGTCTCATTAAATGCCTCAAAATGTCAAAATGTGTCTTCCCTGTTGACCGATGAACCATATTCAGCCCTCAAAAATGAGTTTCCTATTCTTTCAACCAATCATGAACCCATACTAACATCAATAATGGTAAAATACTTTGGTGTTACACTATCACACAATTTATCATGGTCACTGCACGTTCAGAACACGTACTGTAAAGTTAGAAAGCTTTCATATTACTCACCCCTATTCATAATAGTTTCTGTTCCCCATAAGTTGCTTGTTACGTTTGTGAATGCGTGCGTGCTGTCCCACTGGTTGCAGTTCCCTAGTGATTTTCCCCAGTATGTTGAAAGAAGACTAGCAAGATCGCTAAATATAGTGGCATTGCCAGAAATAGACTTGCGGACTCTATCATAGACAGATATCTACGTGCATGTGAAAACTTTATTGCCAAAATACTTTCAAACACTCATTACCAACTACACAACGAATTTTCAAAAACAGTATCTGTATCATCACACGCTCAAGGTTCAAACATCTATTTGCGCATACCTCTTTAAATCGTTATTCTGTTTTACCATATCTCGCACGCCTACTTGTTGACAAGGAGGAAGTTTCCATAGAGTTACGTAATTGCTTACTCCAGTGACAAAGACATCTACTACTTTCAGTTTCATTTTGTGTGATTTTGTAAATTTGCAACCACAATTATGGTGTAAAATGCTGAAAATCCACTCATCCGGATGCATGAAGCTACTGCTACCTTGACTTCTGTTTATTATGTCCCAAGACACACTTTCGTTGGTTAAGCAATTCATGCATATCCTGTGGGCAGTATTACTGATATATTTTTTGAGTCATACATTGATTTAGTTGAACTTTCCTGGGAAGATCTCTTTTCTATTCGTGATATACTGGTGGCGTGTTCCCTGCGAAGCATCATGTTCTTTCTTGTTCCATTGTTGTCTCATTACCTACCACAGATTCAAATGCCTTCAATTTTTGTAATTTAAGCTATTTTAAACTTCTTTGTTTCATGCTTCGGTTTAGATTGCAACTTGTGGCTGCGCGTCTGGTCAACAAATGATCAGAGGCGTACGAATAAACGAAAGTTGGAAGGTTGTATTTGGAAAAGTTCCTTCTATTAATATTTTCGTGCTGGGTTTGAGTGAAATCCACACTCATTCGACTTTGCTCACTTGATTGTCCCACTAGACTCGGGTGATATTACATAGGCAACTACACTACTGTTACTTGTACTACTCTTTTCTGTCTTTCGATGTGTATGTGTGTAGTAGTAGTAGACAATATCAATACGACAAATCACTTACCGGGATTCGTGCTTCATGGAGCAATGACTAGTCCTTCTTTTGAAGAACCATATAGATTCACTTACGTTATGCTTGAGACAATCATGAACCCAACGTCTATTCGTTGGTATATTGAAATGAACGAAATCACTGTATGTATTGAGCTTAAATAAAAAGTTTACAGCCTGCGATCGTGTGTCTTGACAAACGACAGGACGCAACTGGTCATTGTGTGTAGTTTGTCTCATTACAGTGCGAATCGGTATACGACCATGTGGCTTGCGCTGCGTAATTTAACCTTCACCCCGTCATAATGACAATTTTCTGTGCTGGTTCCTAATTAATTCATTGATAAATACCCATCAAATCCAGAATGAACCGTTGATTACGATAACGAGACACTACTTTTATTAAGGAGTAGTATGTTTGGTGCGCTCAAGAGGATGCGGTTGGTAGATCCTCACAATACAGAAAAATGAACAAAGCATGTTCAATATTATAGCTAGAGAAGATTCGAATGTACTGTTGGATTGTTCAACCACTATTATTAAGTGCTATTTTTAAGTACCAATCATGGAACATTTTTTTTATAAAGATTATTGTACCATGATTTGTTTGGCACACAGTCTGTCCTCAGACAAATGTGAAATATAATATAATAATATAATTATTAATTACTTCACGTAAGCATGGTTAATCTCCTTCAGTTGAGACGCTTCGTTCTGTGTAACCCGATTCACTTCTTTCTCATTTCTTTCTTTCTGATAAACAACTCTCCTCTATCTGGCACTGGTCTTGTGTATTGATAACAGGTACCGGTCTTATACTGCTATGCGGCAATTTTCGTTACTGCCTTTCGGCTACCTTGTCGGTAGTGGGTGATGTGATAGAAATAAATGGAAGAGTTGAAAGCAAAGTGCACTAGTCAAGAAAGATAGAAAGGTACACAAAATAGATCCTTGACATAGAGTACATGAAAGAGAGTACCGTTGTTTACAACTCCCATCCATATCACTCTGTGTCTCTACCATTGTTTCGTTTCCTCCCGAGATTNAGATTCATAACTGATGAAGTCCAACGCATCCTGTTCGTCATAGTTTCTTGATCAGGGTTTTCATACCCTCACTCTAGATTTCAGTTTGACCATATTTATTCCGCTCATTACCTGCCTCAGCAAACGTCGCACATCGAGAGAGCTTATATGGGGAAATGCTTAAGATAATCCATAATAATTCATTGGGGCCAGCAGCTATCCCTATCCGTTTTTAAGAATAGCGGCTCAGCCTTAGTTTTGGAGTTAACAAAACTCCTGGGCTCAGTGTGGGAGAAGGAACAGGTTCCAACTG